GCATGGAATTCTACAGCTGTAGCCCATGTCATGCAGACGTCTGTATGTGGTGGTTCTTGATGCACTGACACCAGCCTCAGTCCACTCCTTATGAAGCTCCCCCAGATTTCTGAATCGCCCTTGCTTGACAATCCTCTCAAGGCTGCGGTCATCCCTGTCACTTTTGCACCTTTTCCGGCCACATTCTTCCCTTCTTCTTAACACTCTGTTAATATACTTTGATACTGCGTTCTGTGAGCATCCAGCTTCTTTTGCAATTGCCTTTTGAGACTTTTCCTCCTTATGGAGGGTGTCAATGATGGTCGTCTGCACAACCGTCAAGTCAGCAGTCTTCCCCATGATTCTGAAGCCTACTAAGCCAGACTGAGACAATTTCAAGGCTGAGGAAACCTTTGCAGGTGTTTTGCATTAATTAGCTGACTAGATTGGGACACAGGGAGCCTACAATGTTGAACTTTGTCATGATATTCTAATTTTGTGGAATACTGGATTTGGGTTTTTTTTTTGTCTTTAATCCATAATCATCAAAATTGAAACAAATAAAGGCTTGAAATATTTCACTTTGTGTGTAGTGAACTAATATAACATACAAGTTTCACTTTTTGAAACAAATTATTGAAATAAATGGACTTTCCCTCTATATTCTAATTTTTTGGCACATACCTGTAAATATAGGCAAATATGAATTAATATTTCATTTTATTTTTAGTGTAACATATGTTTTTAGTGTAAAATACAGTAGAGCTCTGATCATGTGAGCAGAAGCAGAGAAGAGAGAAGGAGCATAGGGGGAAGGGCGTTTGCCCCATGCAGAGCCACTCATGGTTGCAGGGCTCCTGGGGTTAAGGGGAGGGCAACCAGGCCTTGAGCCAGTGTACAGGGTGGCAGCTACCTGCTGCTCATCACACATACACACCAGTGGCTTTCTGTACAGCTTTCTGTCAAAAACCAACACTCCTATACACCTCGCCTTACACACACTGACCCACTTCATGTCAGTTATATGTTTTACTTCTTTCCTCAATCTGTCTCACACACACAGTTACACACACCCACAGAGCAGGGGATGCTAGTGGGAGAAAGGGAAGGAAAGAGAAAAACAACCCACCTGACAACATGAAGCCTGTCAGTGGAGCAGGTGACAGTTAAATAGTAGAACTCCTGTCTCAGCTCCATTTGGCCTTTAATATCATCATATTACACTGTCAAGGACAGTGGGGGCAACTGCCTCAGCCTCTATCTAATCATCTGCTCTGGAGCGCCCACTGGTGGCTTGGTCCTGGGTGACAGGCTGACACTGAAACCATCTCCTCTAGTGGTTGGGAGGTTACCACTGGTTGCAGAGTCACTTTAACAGTTGGGATATGGTGATACTCTAATATTTCTTGTCAAGATGTGTCACAGATGATATGAAAATGGTTTATGGATCATTCTGCCGCCTTTCAAGTTTCAAATTCTTGCTCATCTGCTGGCCTGGTCCTTCCAGACCCTTGAGTGGAGTCTTTACTCTGCAGATTGATCTCCTTTTACACTACAAACAGTGCAGCTATGTCTCAATGGGTCACTTCAAGCCTTTTCAGCTAATTTAATGACCCCTTAAATGATGTTTATTAATCAGATTGTGCTGAGTTTCTGTGGCCTTGTTGTGGCTGATACTGAAGCACCTAATTAATGGTCAAATCAATCAATGAAGTTTCACTAACGATGCTTCAATGACTATTATGTAATAAAAGAGATAATTAATCTCTTAAGTCAGAAACAAAATGGACCAGGCAGAGAGGTGTGAATATGGCATACTTACCCAGACTGCTATCTGCTTTGGCTAATGAATTAATGTTTCAGTCTGTCATCCTTATTGTTACTTCAGACAAATCCACAAGTAAGTTTCTCAGAGCCGGTTTGTTTCTGCAATTGAGTTAGACCTTTAAGGCGATAGGAGGTCGTTCTCTTCATCAAATGAAAGGAGGGCTTATTTAAAAACGCTAATCTCCTGTAATCCTTTTAATATGTCTCACACTTTGCTCTGTCAATACACAAGGCTGGGCAGTTCCAGCTTCAATGAGCACATCCCAAAACTGGACATGGCAGAAGAGGTGGGATGAGCAGGAGGACTCGCAGGGCCGTCAGGAATCTGTTGACCATTCATAGCAAACATCAGAATAGTGCATCATCATAATGAGAGGCGATTATTCTCTAATTTGGTGGATTTTAGAGAATTGTGGTGAAAGTGCACGCTGGGCAATCCAGGCTCCTCCTCGCTTCTTTCTCCCCCTACCAAGTGTCGACCGCTCCTCAGGTAAAGATTTTTTTTAATCGAGAGGGGAGGGAGGGGGTGTGGGGCTGGGGGTGTCCGCTTTTGTTCTGTAGAAAAAAGGGGCCTGTTCTTAGCTAATCAGCCTGCCATTTTAACCGGGGGTGTGTGAGCGCCGGACGAGAGGCTTGACACGGGAGAGGTGTGGGATGGGAGCAGAAAGAGGAGAGAAGGAGCGTCCAGCCTACAGTCCTGCCACAGCCGAGAAGAGCAGCAGCATCGACTCACTGCGAGAAGACTGAGGAACCCGAGCCAGCCCGAGGGAGCACAGACACACCTGAAGGCCGCAAAGGACCACAGAGATTGTAAAGCAGGAGGAATAGTCTGACAGCTCAAACTCTTTTGTAAAACATCTTGCAGCGCCCTTTGCACCGCTCAGCTCAGCTTCTGCAAGTGCTCTTATACTTTGCGCAGCCTCCTGACAGAAACTGGCATTCTTTATGTTAATGATAAATTGTTATTATTTACTCCTGTTCACCTACTTAAGCGAAGCAGGGGCTTGGCTGTGAAGAATGTGCCCGCTGTGCATGCATGAGCCTCTCTATCAGCGCCTCTGACGGTTTTGTGGATTTCGGGGAACTCTTTTGACTGATTGTTTGATTTCTCACGAAATCGGTTGAACTTTAAAGCTTTGAGAGGATCCTAGTTCCAATTTACTGGAAGAAATTTTCACATCCTTCCAACATGCGATCCATCCCATCCAGACTCTGCTATCTGTGAGTGATTTTCTCCTTTCATTTCCATTCTGTACACACTCTAATTACTCCTTCATGGTAACTCAATGCATGTTGTCCTTTGCAGGTTTCTACACTTATTTGCATTTTCCTACTATGCTCAGGTACGTTACTGTTTTCATTTCTTTTTATATAGGCTAAATGTTCACATTGTCCCTTTCTTATTTTATCGTCCAAATTTAAAATGATCTTGGAAATCTCTAAAACATATGGCAGTCAAGAACAGCGCGGGATCGTCGTAATATTATGTAATACAACAATGTTGGATGTGTCCAATGGTGCGCCGGGCAGCGGGGCGCGTGGCCTGTTGGCAGGTTGCTGATGAACACACCGGCCGTGGCACAACACGCGCGCGGGCACAGACGCGGCATCGAGGCAGGGGGAAATGCTTGCGCGTCCTGTGAAAAATATCGTAGGGATCCAACAGCCGTGGGCCAATTTTTCAGTCAACAGCAGTCATTCCATCACAGCGGAGCGCAGCAGAGAGGAGAGAGGGGGGGATTGGACTTCGTACAAATTTAAAGTAGATGTTGTATTCACACTATCAGGAATGAGAAGTGGAGCACCATTCCCGTTTATGGCCTTTCTGCGCTGCAGGGTGGTGCGCATTCTCCTGTAGACCTACGCACAACCTGCATTCACATAGTGCGTCTTTTTGAATCCTGTTCATTTTATTTAGCAGCACCTCTCCTGGAACTTGTCACACTTGTCACTCGAGAAAACACCAACAAGCAGTGGTTCTATTTGAGTATCCTTCATTTCCTACAACAACCTGAAGACACACAGTTTGCTTCATTCTCAGTATCAGAATCTTGATATACCCGCTCCATTTTTTGCGCAATTTGATGCCAGTTAAAAAGCAGAGGAAAAAGAAAAGAAAAGAAAAATGTACATGCACTCATGACTATGATGAAATCTAATTTTGACAGGTAACCAATCAGTCCCCGCCTAATTTCACGCAGCATGTAAGCGAGCAGAGCAAAGTGACGGACCGCGTGAGCCGCAGGTTGATCCGGATCTACCAGCTGTACAGCCGGACCAGTGGCAAACACGTCCAGGTTCTGCCCAACAAGAAGATCAACGCCATGGCCGAGGATGGTGATGTGCACGGTAAGAGGACACAAGACACAAACGTCTTTTGGAGCAAGAAAAATGAAAAATCCTCATTGTCCATTAAGGCGAAGTGGCTTTGATGAATTTTTCACTCGTTTTTGTAGATTTTGTTTTCAAATGATTCCACTCCATTTTGTTGAGATTTCACACCAATGCAAAGAATCATATGGATTTATTTCACGCTATGTTTATTTACACCACTTTACCTGCAGAGAAATCATTCTTTTTGTGCACACCAACGTCCGTTCAGCAATTTTTAATTTGAAAATGTTATTATTATTAATACTACTACTACTACTACTGTTATTAACATTAACATTTACTGCTTTATTAGCTTAATTTCTAGCTATATTTTATTATTGTTGAAATTATTGAAATTATTCTGATTTTTTTTAACTAACATGGCTCAAGAACAATTTTCCACCTACTTAAAGCATAAAAAATCTGAGAAACAAAAAGTAACAAAAGTAACTATAAAATAAGTCATATTTTTAAATTTACATTTTTCTTTCATAAAAATGTGCAAGTCACTAAAAGAATGCATTTGTAATTCTTCTTATTTCAAATTCAAATAAGCACACTTGCCAGTGAAATCCTGTTCAATCAGTCATTCAAACTTTTTCTGTTTCTGACATTTCAAATTGTTCAAATTTCCAGAGATAATTGAAATCATTTCACAAACAGCATTTTCTTGAAGCCTTGACCTTTTAACCAAGCAGCTGACAGGTGAAGAGGGTTATTCATTGCACCATTTGTGATCCCAGCCTGTAGTGTCTTGGAGCTCAGAGTGATTGTCCAGTGGATTGTAGACAGAGCTGGAGGTGATCCTCCTGAGATCCTGCAGGTCTGGAAGAGCCATTAGAAGTTTTCTTACTGCTGCCTCTGGAACATTTCCTGTATAGCTCCTTCCCTCCCCTCCACCACCACTTTTAACCCCACTCTATCCAACCTCAGAACCAAACGGGCCTCCTCCAGCTTTTTAGTAACTCTGGCCTACCTTCTTTGTTATATTTAAACTAAATTGAATCAGACATCAAACCATCTGCTTAAATATCATTTGATAATAGAGTGTTTGCTAGCTTGCTGTCTGTACAGAGGGCTCATGTAGTTGGTGCACAACATAAATGTATACACGTACAGTATGTCGCCTCAAAAAACAAGCGCAGCCTATTCAGGACACCTCAAGTCAAATGAGAGAGAAAGTCTGAGAGTGTGTGTGTGTGTGTGTGTGTGTGTGTGTGTGTCTCCCACGTCTGTCTTTTACTCAGACTCTGCCTATTATTCAGCCCTATAACTGCTGGCTCTGACCACAACTATTACTCTCAGCCGTGTCATGGTTAGTCAGTGGGTGGGTGCAGAAGGCCCTGAGCATCCTTGGTGAGTCTCACTAACCTGATGGCTGACGCTAAGGAACCAGTTTTATGAGACACTGTGGATTAAAATGGAATTTATATAAGGTCATCTGCTATTGGGTGTTAATGTTCTGGATCACTATCTGTGTGAATGTCAAATCACACACTGTAGCACACTGTGTGGAGCAGAGTCAAACTGACCTGCAGGTATCTGTCATTCTGCAAAAGTTCATCAACACTGCAAAACACCAACATTGTCTTGTTCTTATCTGGTTGAAACGCAATGTAAAAATGCACCAAGCACCATAAAGTCATGCCCTTTGAACAGTCTGTATTTCCTGTGTGTGAATATGTCTGTGTGTGTGTGTGCGTGTCTGTCTCCCGTGTCTGTCATTTACTCGGAAGGGATATGGAGATAAATGTGGAGCTTTATGTGTGAAGTCCATGCAGATTTATTTGAAAAGGAGTTCTTGATGGGCCTGCCAGGATTGCCTCTTTAGCGTTCAAAGAATTGAGAAACACGTGGTTTTATCATTTTGAAAGAATTTCAGCTTGCTTGAATCCCCAGAAATGATCCCATAGGTCTTAGTGTGCATGTGTGTGTGTGTGTGTGTGTGTGTGTGTGTGTGTGGGTGAGAGAAGAGAGTGTATGCATGCTTGAAATCACACAAGCATTTCTGCATGTGTCATCAATGCTTTTATGTCCATGGAAACATGCACGCACGCTGTTAGGTCATTCATTCAGGTTTTAATATTTGAAGACGGTTTCAGATAAATGCTAAATAAGACATTTCTTGCTGAAATCACATTAAGCTTAAGTTGCAGTTGTTAAATCTTTTTTTGTTTGCTTGCTTTAGCTAAACTCATTGTGGAAACGGACACGTTTGGGAGCCGAGTGCGCATTAAGGGAGCTGAGACAGGCTTCTACATCTGCATGAACAAGAGGGGGAAGCTCATCGGCAAGGTGAGGAGGAAAAACTGGCCTAAACCAGTCAAAGCTGAGGAAAAAGGTTTGTTAGCTTACTGTAGCTGAGATCAAAATGTCAGTGGTTGTCGTAGCAGCACAGCTTGAGAATTTAGTGGAGACTTTAGTGTGTGTTTTGTGGTCTTGTGTAGGGCAAAGGAAAACCTCAAGTGTTGAGAGCAGAAAAATCTAAATCATCCATAAGTCTAGTGATATGTCATTATCTCTGTTGCTCTATACTAACACCTTATACTTTTTAGGAAAAGTAGAAAAAAGAGAAATACAACAGAATGCTTTTCAGCTACCTCTGGGAGTTTGCTGTCAAACTGACAACAACTCTCACAAACATCATATGGATAGATGGGACTACTTCCCTTAGAATCAAAGTGCTGCATGACAAGAGACTCTGTACAGCTAAATGTCAGAGCATGAATATGATCATTTAAAAAATTAAGCTGTGTAATATTGTACATTTTTTATATTAACAAATTCAATTAAAAGACCAAAACCAACACTGAATTGATCCTACTAACAAGCTTTGGCAAGCCAGGCTCTACTTGATGTAGCTCATGTGTATATTAGTCCATAACTAAAATAGTCCCTAACAAATATAATGTTTCCTCCTGTTTGATAGGAACAAAACTGGCTTGAACCAAAATATCTGTGAAGTGTTTTAAAAGCTTTACATGGGAACCAGTAGATTTGGTGCTTAGAGTCACTGACAGAACAGGGAAGTTAGAGAGTAATGAGAAACAGACTAATAAATTATTAATGGAGGTCTATATATAAGATTTGTTAACAATAAGAACATTGAATAATAATTCCAACCTGCTGACTATATGTTCAAACACACTGGCAGCTTCAACTTTACATGATAGCAGTAAGTAGCTTATTATGCAATATTTTTAGCATGCTAGTTTAAATCTTTCTCTGTCTCTGCTGTGCATCTGTTGCTGTTATGTGACTGTGCAGGTGTGTGTTTCAGGCTGAGGCTATCTCAGTGCCCCTCTCTCACTGTGACAGCTAATAAACAGACCCCCCACCACCGCCACACACACATGCACACAGTCCTCCACCCACCTAGCACCCTGCCTCGTACACCATCTGCCTTGAGCTACCAGTCCACTCGGCCTCAGTGTGTGTGTGTTTGTGTGTGTGTGTGTGGGTGTGGGTGTGTTTGTGTGTGTGCTGTACAGACAAAGAAATCAACAGAGAGTGTGTCTTTTGAATGTTTGTGTGCACTTGGGTGTATTTTGTGGAAACAGGAGCTTGTTACAGCAGGCTGGCAGTCAGGTCACTGTGTTCAGCTACTACCGTTTCAGCTGACCATACTGTACAATTCATAAATATTGGAACTGTATAATGTTTTGTACTTTATGATATCACCAAGTGGAGGTCACATTTCACTCATCTTTTATATATTATCTCATCCCTGAGTTGCACGGTCAACATCACAATCTAATGGGGCCTTACCTGAGCACAGCAGCAAACTGGTCAGATGTATTTAAGGATATAATAATTGTTATTCAATTCAAACAGACCTCCTTGGTTAAATTTAAGCACAAATGCAACAAGGGATCAAACCAGGAGTGAAAGTGACACTTGGGGCTGATTAAGGCTTTATGGCTGGAGAATTCGTCCTGCAGCTAGTGACCCACGAGAGCTGCTGAATGTTTGCTGAAGGGGGATGGCTTACTGTCATCCCCCTCTCTCTGATCTGTAATGACTGTAGCATATGCTGCATGTATGTGGGGAGGGCAGTGTGTGAGTGTGTGTGCAGGCGACAAGCTGCACAGGGATGCTTTTATACATCTGATATGTCCTATTTGTATGCCTTTATCGAAAACTCTTCTCCGAACACTGCCACTAATGTTTTTTTCTGTTTATTTCTGCAGAAAAATGGGCAAGGCAGAGACTGTATCTTCACTGAAATTGTTCTGGAGAACAACTACACAGCGCTGAGGAACGCCCGCTTTGAGGGCTGGTACATGGCTTTCACCCGCCGCGGGCGTCCACGGAAAGGTTCGCGGACACGGCAGCACCAACGCGAGGTCCACTTCATGAAGAGGCTGCCGAAGGGGCAGCAGGGCAACCACCCAAGCCACCACCGACCTTTCGATTTCATCCACTACCCCTTCAGTCAAAGGACTAAACGCACACGATACTCATCAGAGCACTGAGCGGGAGGAGGAAGATAGAAAAGACAGAGAAAGAAAGAGGAAAAACTGACACGCTCCTCTGCTCCCTCAACAACCTCTAGAGACATTTTATACTGAGCATTACTATTTCTTAATCTGTAGTTTGTTTTATATTTTTCTCACAGTAAAAACAAAAAAGATGTATATAGACCAAATGCTTGAGAAATTTATTTTTGTACTCTTTTAGTGTAAAAAAATAGAATGCAATTTTGTTTATAGATGCAGATAACTCCTTGTCTGATCGAGATTATCTTAGTAGAGTGTGTTGTGTTGTTTCTGTTATGTCATTTTGACCAGTGGAGTCATTTCTTGGACTCTCGCCTGCTGCTCAAGGAGACTTGAAGGGCCCTGATTGACCGCACTGCCAGGGAACGTTGCATTCTGAGGCTCAAGCTGTCACGCACTGCGCTGGAGAGCACCAGGGTCAGTAAAAATTACATAAGCACACGGTGATAACACTGCAGTGTTTAAGCTTATCGCTTGATGCTGCACCCTATTGGGATTATTCTGATTCTTTCTCACACAGTTCAAGCAAACAGAGCTTTAACAGTGTCTGATGAAACAATGTGGCAGCTACATTTGATAAACACAGGTTTCCTGTTCTGACTGTAATATCAGTGTACAAGATGCATTGATGTGTAAGGATCCCCATGACACAGCCACTGCCCCTCACCCTCTTGTGTTCTTGTTGCCCCTGAATGCCTGTTTTTAAGCATACATAAATATATTTTTATTTGAGGATGTGTAAAATTATTTTAAGGATGGAATATTTATTTAAAATGTGTAATAAATGTACATTAGAATACTGATATTAAAGTCTTGTTTGATACATGCTTGGCTTGGACTCATCTGTGAAACCCTGACAACACACACAACTGTCCTGACCAGCCTTATCCTCTATGCATGGTTACATAGCTGTGTAAATCTTAGCTTAGTGTAAGTCTGGTAGCACCTGTACCAAGCCTGCAGGATTTTGTAGAAAAGCGAAAAGGAACTGTTTATGCACACAAACAAGTAACTTGTTTCATGCTCCCAGATGAATTTCGCTTATTCAAAGAACAGCATCAAATATTGAGAATACAAGGACTATCAAAATAGCATGCCAAAATCTGACATAAACAGTAACAGTTGTTCAACCATGGACATTATCATCTAAATGTGTGCACAAATTATTCATTCAAAGACACAAATCTCTGTACACTAATTATTAAATGGAGAGAAATATTTGTTTTATGTGTGCAAATTACTTTTTCTGCTGCACTCCTTGCACTTGTGCATTTGCTGTTTTAATTTTGTGGTTTTGCAGAATATGCTCTTTAAATCTCATTTAGACAGGGTTCTCCTGAATCAGAATTTAAAAGATTAAAATTCACAGGGACTTTACTATACAGTTTCTTTATGACAAACAAAACTGAAGTAGACCAAGCCATTCTAAAAAAACAAACCTAAACTGAATAGATAAAAATCAAGTACGAACCACAGCTGGAAACAGACAGCAAACATATCCCAGGTAACCCAAAGCAGAAACTGTGGCTAACTCTTAATTTTACTGATTTATCTTCTCCCATTTCGATGGAGTCAAAAACTTGTTCTGTGTCTGTTGGCTTGGAAAACCTGTAATAAAAGGTTGACCCTGTCAGATTACAACAAATTTGGAGATATCTGTTAATAAAATAGATGTGTAATTGGGATGATCATACATTTATGAGTTCATTGCTGGCTACTATACCAAATTTAGACTCTCACCAATTGATAATGGGCGGGGACATTAATTGTGTAATCGATTCAGCACTGGATAGATCCAATCCCAGATCACCCTTGCCTTTATTCACTGCAACAATTCGGCTTTAGTGATAAATTCATCTCATGGGTCAGATTGCTTTACTCCTCTCCCAGTGCTTCAGTATGCACAAATACTCAGCGCTCTGTACCATTCCCTCTCTTTCGGGGCACACAACAGGGATGCCCTCTTTCGCCATTATTATTTGTGCTTGCAATCGAACCGATCTTGGTTGCCCTGAAAGAGGGATTTAAGGGAATTAGGAGATGGGGTACAGAACACCAGGTCTCGTTGTATGCAGATGACCTACTTCTCTATGTGAGAAACCCCTTAACAAGCATCCCACCGATATTAACACTGTTCAAAATGTTTTGGTCACTTATCTGGATA